AAAAAAAAAAAAAAAAAAAGAAAGAAAGAAAAGGGGATAGAACCAAGTAATCAGGATCTTGAAAGACACAAACTTCAACTCTGACACACAGAAGTGAAGATGGCCTGGGAAGGAACTGAAAGAATGCGTACATCTAGAATTTGCTGAGTGCTTTACACAGAGGATGAGAATTCACACAGCAGTGTCATCCCAGAGGATGCAGGGGGGAAGGGGAGGCACTGACCCAGCATACCAGGCCCAAGTATTCACACCACGACATGGAATTGGGTCAGCTAAGGCTGAAGGTCAGGATGTTTCACATGCTAAAGACAGCTGGCTTTGTGCCAGTGGCATAGGCCTTTTATGAAGTGACTCCGCACTACATGGAGCAGAGTCCCCTCCCCCGTCTCCCCAGGAAGTGGGCTGGATGCAATCCTGGCAGAAAGTGGGGCTGAACTGTCTCTGGGTACGTTTCCAGCTCTGGAGTCCCATGATACTACTTCCTATTGACCTTATATACTCTCCCAGGAATGAAACTAGCCAGGTTCAGGGACTGAAGGATGGCCATGGGCAGCAGCATGCAAGCCTGACCTGGATACACTGAAAAGACAGGGAAAGGATTGGCTTAGTGCAGGACCAGGGAGCTACAGGACAGTACTGAAGGGCTCTGGCCAAAGATGTCTCAGAGGACAAGGATCTGGTCTGGAGTGGGGTAGGCAGTGGTGGCAATAAATCTAACCTGGTAGCAATGTCGTCATCCTCACCACCCCATCCCCAGTATTCATTGGGGAAGCCATTCATCTTCAGGTACTGGTCGGGAGTAAGTGCTGATACCCCTCCAAAGTACTGGGGGTACGGGAGGCTGGGAAGAGAAAGATCCATGCATTCAACAAGTCTTCTGCAGACATCCGCACCCACCACCTCCTCGGCTCTCCTCCTCCCACTGGGCTCTGGGTTTCCCTGCTTCCCAGCTTCTTTCCCTGCCCTCTACCTGTATCCAAACTTGTTCATGGCAACAGCGACATGGCGGGGTCCCCGGGGGTCGCACACATACAGATTGTGGTCATTTTCCGGCAAGAGGTCCACATCGTGCAAGAAGAGGCAGTCCCATTCTTCATCGCGGAGGGCCTCCCGCACCCCAACGTTCAGCAGTTTTGCCCTGTTAAATGTTCCGTTTCCAGCCTGGAAGATAATAGAGGGGACCAGACTCTGTCTGTAGGTGGCAGAGAAGAGGGTGCTGGAGTACAAAAGCGACAAGAGAAATCAGAGTGGGGTGTTGGGTGAGGAGAACGAACAGAAGGACAAACTGGCTCTTCCATCTCCATTGTGTCCCTCAACAAATTGTTCTTGCACGTATGTATGTACCTGATACATTTTTTGAGTAAAAGTCTCACTCTGTTGCCCAGGCTGGAGTGCAGTGGCACACTCATGACCACTGCAGCCTCGACCTGCTGGCCTCAGGTGATCCTTCCACCTCAGCCTTCCAAGGAGCTGGAACCACAAGTAAGCACCACCACACCAGGCAAATTTTTTTATTTACTGTGGAGACGAGGTCTTGCCAAGTTGCCCAGCTGATCTCGAACTCCTGGGCTCAGGCAATCCGCTCGCCTCCACCTCCCAAAGTGCTGGGATTACAGGCATGAGCCACCGCGCCTGGCTGTACCTCATACTTACATGCTATTTAGCATTTAATCCTGCCAGCCAACAAGCATGTGAAACAGGTGGTGTATTAGTTACTGACTGCTCTCTGCCTTAATTCAGAGTGTTAAGTATCTTGCTCAAGGTCACACATGTAACAAGTGGCAGAACTAGCATTTTAGCCCAAATGTGCTAATTCCAAATCCACACAAGTTACTCAAAGCAAAAATCACGGGAGAGTACAGGACAGTGGGAGTAACCTGAACAGTAAGAAGTGTGGGCTGGCCAGCTTGGATGAGCAATGCCAGGTCCTTCTGCACACTCAGCAGCCCAGTCCTCTCCCAAGTATTCTAGGGGTCCATTGGAGGAGAGTGGGATGCCACGTGCTCACAGCTTTCTTACAAGAGTGGGAGGGGCTGTGGGTACCTGGTGGATGACATAGATGCCGTAAGCAAGCTGCTGGCGCTGCAGGAAGGGGTGCAGGTGGTAGAGCAGCAGGCGCAGGTGGTGCTCCCGGGCACGGTGGGGCACAATTATGGCTGTCCGAGAGCGGGGCTCACACCCTGCAGGGCGGTACCGGCCTCCTGGCTCCACCCGGGGATTCCGCTCCACAATCTCTGCCAGAGATGGCACCGGGCTAAAGGACACTGACACGGGACCTACTGTTGGGAAGGAATGGCAAGTTCAGGGACAGGGGAGGCAAGGAGTGAAGAACAAACACAAGGCCTGGGAGTGCCTCGGGCCCTGGAGGTCTGATTCTGGGGCTCTGTTCCCTTCAGGATGCCCTCAGAAATCTCACAAGCCATGGGTTCCCCATCACTGGGACACCTCTGCAGAGGCTAGAAGGCTCCTTACCTAGCCTGCCTTCTGATTTTAGGGTTCCGTAACTTTCTCCTGCCTCACCAGGCTGGAAGCTGCAGTTGGGAGATAGAGGGCAGGGCTTCCAACTGACTGACTAAACCAGAGCTCATCTGCAAGGAAAACTATTCCTAGCCTGGGGCAGAAAAGCACATAAACGGGCAGGCAATGGGAAGCTGTGGCCCCACCCAGGGGCCTAACCTAAACTCCCCATTCAGAGTCCACTCTCTCTCAACCTCAGTGCATTATTCTCCTAAGTCCCACTCCTGCTGCTCCAGGCCTTCCTAGCCTCCCTGTCCCCATGCCTTGTCCTTTTCTTCACCTCCTCCCTTCTCCTGCACTCACCTAGGAAAGGAGATCGTTCTGGACAGTAGGGCAGACCTTGAGGAACTGGAGGGCCCCCTGGGGCAACGGGGGCCCCAGGCAGGTGACTGAGGTTACTGTAGACATCACGGGGGTGAGAATAGTCAAACGTTGGCCCCTGATCTCGGCCAAATAGGGCACTGAGGCTTCGGAAGCCCCCCAGTGACAGGTACATCATGACAGCCAGCTGGGAGCCCACAAGCAGGGCCAGTGTGCAGGGCCGCTCCAGCAGCCTCCGCAGCATCCTGGGGTGAGGTCTGGGGAGGGAGAGGGAAATTCTGGGGGCAGGCAGGAAGACAGCAAGCCAGCAGATCAGCGGGCAGGCGTGATGGTGGTGCCAGGGATAAAGAGAAAAGAGAGAAAAAAAGTCACAGAAGGGAGCACACAAGTGTACAGTCACCATGTACAGTCACGCAAGGACATAAAATAGAACATAACCACAGCAGTCCTAACACCTGTCACTTCAGCCCAAGTTTCACTTTCCACCTCCCCCAAGCCACTGCCACCAACTACTCTCGGTCCCCACCTCCAGGACTGCCTACAACATTCAAGTCTCATGTTCTTTTCCGAAGAGTCTCTGGATTTTAGAAGGGAAGAGATAGGCTCACCTAGGTTCAAGCTGTCTTCTTCGGGATCATTGGAGTTCCAGGGGTTCCAGGGGGTCCCGGGGGTGCAGAGATGTGCGGCATTATCTAAAACTGGAAGTGTCACAGACAGAGAAAGGCTCCATCCAGCACTCCAGCAGTAAATCTGGGACCAGCTAGAAAATAAGCGGTAAAGGATACTAGCCACCTGCACCGACGGAGGTCAGGGTCAGGGTGAAACGTTTTCTAGCCGGAGCGAGGGGGGGGGGAGTGGCTGGAAAGAAAAGAGGAGGCGCAGGAGATGCTAGGTCCCTGGCCTCTCCCCGGCTACCCTGAAACAGTAGTGTCGGGATTAACCTTCCCTACCCCCACCCCAACAGGACCGACTTGTTTGGGGAGTGGACAGGGCAGCTAATGCAAACAGTCTTCCCCAGACCGACAGCCCGCTCAAGGGGCGAGACAGTTGTAACAGGGCTGTGGAGCTGCCTCGGGAATACCCAGGATAAGTAGGAACCAGGTTCTTTCCGTTCTGCACGTGCCTGGGAGCTGTCGCCTATGGTGCAGGGAGCATGACCACCTGGGAGCTGCCAGCAAACGGCCCCAAGGCGCAGGCGGGGGGGAGGCCGGGTGGCGTCCTCCACCTTGCCTACCTTTCCCCAGCCGGGCGGGGGCGGGGAGGAGGGTTACTGCTGAAGGGAGAGGGCGAAGGGAGGAGGGCAGAGGCCCTCGCGGGTACCTGGACAGGCTCACCTGGAGGGCGTGGTCAGCGCTGTGCAGGGGATGAGAACTCCGCTCTTTCGGAGCACGCCCACCCCTCCCCAGTCTCCTCTTGCGCGTGCCCTACCTTGCAGCGTCCATACTTCCACCTGGGACCCCCGTCCTACTCAAGCGCGTCTCCAGGCGTGACCCCAGACTTCTCACCCTCACGACCGCCGGGCTTTCCACCCGGGCC